GGAGGGGGGCGCGGATGGCCCCCATCGCTCCCCTCCCCTCTTTCCAGCGAGGCCAATGCAAAGCAAGCGGCGGCTGGGGAGGCAGCATCTGCCGTGGCTTATGGGCCGGAGCAGAGGGCGGGCAGGCTGCGCAGCAAAAGCGCGTAGGGCTCTGTGGCGCAATGGATAGCGCATTGGACTTCTAGATCAATGACGGGACGGAGTCATTCAAAGGTTGTGGGTTCGAGTCCCACCAGAGTCGCATTTTTTTCCCCCAGCGTTAAAAAAAAAGAGAAAGAAAGAAAGAAGCTAAAAAAAAAAAAAGCGCCGCTTTTTGGAAAAAACTTTTTGGGGAGGAGAAAAAAAAAAGAAAGGAAAGGTTTTGGAAAGGTTTGCCAGGTTTCTCACGGGACGGAGAAGAGAGGGGAGGGGGAAAGTCGAGTCCTTCTGACCTCCCCCCCCCTTCTTTGCTTCGTTCCCCTTCCTCCCTTTCTCCTCCCTCGCACTCCCCACCCCCACCCCGAGAAAGACGAGGTGGGTGGGTTGCATAACGCCAGCAGGGCGCACGTGGGCGCACAGGGGAAGCGGCAACGCCAGCGCTAAAAGGAACAAATCAGAAACAATCAGAATCGAGCTGGAAGGGACCCTGGAGGTCTTCTAATCCAGCCCCCTGCTCAAGCAGGAGACCCTATGACATTTCAGGACAGAAGGAAGGGAGGAAGGAAGGGAGGGAGGGAGGGAGGGAGTTGGAAGGAACCCTGGAGGTCTTCTAGTCCACCCCCCTGCTCAAGCAGGAGACCCTATGACATTTCAGGACAGAAGGAAGGAAGTTGGAAGGGACCCTGGTGTCACGCGATCCCCTTTTGCGACCTTCTGACCTGCAAAGAACCCAGGAAGCCTGATTCACTTAACGACCGGGTGAGTAACCACCAGTGATTCATTTAACAAATGTGGCAAGAATTGTCGTAAAAGGGGGCAAGACTCACTTCACGGATTTCCTCACTTAGCCACCTAAATTCTAGGTTCAACTGTGGTCGTATGTTGAGGATGACCTGTCTTGTTTTGCTCTAAGGAAGAGGAAACTGTTTCACAGCAACCAACCTACCACCTCCGTGTAATTATGGCCCTTCTGTATAAGTAATTTCGCATGGTTGTTTTTTTAACCTTATCTAAGATATGAATATATCATTGGAATCCTTCCCGACTGGAATACCTGATGTTGCATTTGTTCTCCCAAGGAAAAATGTGCTTCCCTCACACGCACCAAAATATTTATTACCATAAAGTTGTCAGATATCTGACATGATAAAGGTAAAAGTTCCCTTCGCACATATGTGCTAGTCGTTCCCGACTCTAGGGGGCGGTGCTCATTTCCGTTTCAAAGCTGAAGAGCCAGTGCTGTCCGAAGACGTCTCTGGGGTCATGTGGCCGGCATGACTCAACGCCTTCGAAGGCGCACGGAACGCTGTTCCCTTCCCACCAAAGGTGGTTCCTATTTTTCTACTTGCATTTTT